CTTAACCATAACCTAACTTAAAGCTCGAACACCAGCTGCAGAAGGCATCAGTTCAGGAAATGGTTTCACAGTGAGGTAAACACTAGTGAAGGGGGAACAGACATGGACACAAGTGGTTTTAATTATTCTGGTCTGATTAGATTTCCCCTCAAGTCGACAAGAAGGTGTGCGATGCTGGGTGAGGTTACAGAGATTAAATGACCCAAAATAGTGACAAAGGTTTACCCCATTGTAACAAATGCAAAATGAGAGAGAGAAAGGTGTCAATAAACGGTCTGGACATGTTCTTACTGTCCCTAAAACAGATCTAATCAGGTTAAATAAATGTTAGAGGACAGCTTGTATGCCAGGCCATTAATATTTACAAGCATTCATATTTGATTTTTTAAAAGTCTGAATTTTTAAATGGTTTTAATTAAGCAGTGAAACTCTATTATTCTGGTGCCCAGAGCTCCACACAGCAGACTGGGCTCGCCATTATATTCAAGAGTCTGTGTAAGCGATGACACTTTGACAGTAAGCCAGCGAGAGAGTGAGACCTCACTCTGTCTGCACTGGACAGACTTCCTCACAAAGGATTTGTCTTCATTAAAATTGTTAATGCTGCATGTCTGTCTGCTAACCCTTGGCAGGCGACATTTTAATTTATCTAATTCTTTAGTGTTTTTGCCAAGTTTTCCTTAGAATGCATAACTTATGACGGGTAAAAATCCTGAACAGCTATTGTTAGTTCCTGGAGTTGAAAAGTTACAGAAAACTGTTCCAATAATTGATTGGTTACAATTGATTGTTTTGTTTTGTTTGTTTATTTTGTTTTTACTAGAAATGAAAGGTGAAATCAAAATACATAGATAAAATAAATGCAGTTACAGATCATATCAAAATATAATTATTAAAGTAAATTATTCAAAATTGCTTCAACTTACTTCATGAATGCATCCACTATGATGGCATTTCTATTGTTTTCAAGGTAGTAAACATAAGAATATAATGTAGTACAAACAAAATACATTTAAAGCAATGATTCCATGAAATGATAACTAAATAAAATAACAACTACAGTTTGAAAGTCTGTATTTTAACTGCTCTGGGAACTGTGGTTTGGAGAGAAAAAGGGGCTTTGCAAGCCAAAGCGTGGGGTTACATAACTTCCTGGATGACAGACTGTGCAGGGCAGAGTTAGTTTCAGGTAATATATTTAAACATGTGATTTAACAGATGCCCCTTAAAACAAGACATCTGAATTTAATAAATAATCACAACTTAGCAGAGTTAGAATTGAACTGGAACAGAAAAATTAGATGTGCAACAGGTCAAGCCACCTTTTTGTTTCCTTTAGAGATGACCTCATCCATGTGAATCCATTCCTAATGACTGGGTTTCAACACATGACACTTTTCCCACAGTCTTGGAAGTCCAATAACAACATTTGTTTTTTGGGTGAGGGATTTAGTTTCTGATAAAGGAGGCCCAAAATTAAAGAGGTGTTACTTGATTGTGCCTCAATGTCTTCATGTCTTGTGGATAAGAAGCTTCTGCTACCCCATGAGAAGGAGGTCTGGACTATCAGGATGAAGGTCTGCTATATCCGAGGATGCTTATTGATTTGTCCTAAATTTAGCATTCGCTCCTTTTCCACGAACACATTGCGCAACACTTTCTCCGAAATGTTCTGCCCTCTGACGATCACCTCATTTCCTTCTAGCCACACGCCCCCAGAATGAGGTGCATTCGGGGGTTAAAGTGGGAATGAATGAGGAAGTTATGGATCTGTTCTCTTAGGTGTGAGTTCAGGGCTGCAAATGCATCTCTCAGCTCTTTGTCTCCTTCGTCTCCTGAGAAGCTCGGAGGGGTGTCCACTGGGTTCTGTGAAAAGCCTGAGGGCCATAAGGAAGCTGTCAGAGTCAAGACTGTTTAGTATTTCACTGAGTGCATGTGGTGGTCGTATACTAAACAGTGTTCCCCGTGGTTTTTCTAGGGTGGTTTTCACAGCCTTAACAAGGAGGTAGATAGGTCTATCATTGTTGGGTAGACAGGTTTTCCTCATCACTTTCTGCAATCAGCACATGACCACAGGTATTTTCTCACAGCTTGTCGGCCCCAGAAGATAGAGTAGGTGTGACGTGTTTCAGCAAACACCCTGTCAAGTCCTGGATGAAAGAGTTGCTCATCATAGTCCTTCATCAAAAGCTGCACTACAAGGTGTTGAGTGTCAAGTACCGTGGGGTGAATAGTGTCAGGTTCAAGGCCTTTACTCTGTCAAATACTGGAACCTGCTCATGTTGGTTTGGTTTGGATTTCTACACCAGCACAATTCCAATGTTGTTGTTGGATAAATTCATTATTTACATTTTTCTTTATTGGGTTTTTTTGGGGGGTAGTTAGAAATGTCATTAAGGTGTCAAAATGACCACCTCGTATGCACAACACTTGCTGTTATGTTTTTTTTTCTGGACATATGTTTTGTGGGTTTTTTTTGCAACAACAACAAAAAAATCCTTGTTTAAGTGAATGGGCGGATTCTTCAGCACTAGAGTGGAACTAATCATCAACAGATCTGAAGAAGCTGAAAACTCTATTGAAAAATTTCTCTTTTAAATTTAATTGAAATGTTGTCCTTTTTCAACAAGAAGTAGAAAAACATGCCTTTTCTCATACAATGCTACTCTCTAAGTCCACTGACTCAGAC